TATATATATATATATATCTCAGCAAATGTGAAGTTGGTGATCATTATAAGATTCCTGCAACGTTGAAGAAAAGTTGGCTCTTTGTTAAAAGCTTACCAAGACCTTTCTCCCACTTGATCTAAACGTGAGCTTTTGGTGTGATATCCTCAGATCTCTGGATTTTTGGTCCTATTAAGAATTTTCCATCGACTAAAACAAAATTAGATTTTCCAGGAGAAAGAAAAACAGGCCAGAAATTCTCTCCACTGTCTTATAACCTCTGACCTATAACCCCAACAGGAAGGTCAGCCAGGTCATGGTGATGGACCAGGACACTCAATGGCTATACCAACTCTTAGCTGAAGTCCAGCTGGAGAAGTTTTACCTGCGCCTCAGAGATGGCCTCAATATCACTCGCATTGAACACTTCAGCTACGTCAAAGAGGCTGATCTGGAGCAGATAGGAATCAGCAAACCTGGTGAGCCTGATCATCTTCTCTGATCATTCATCCTCGGTGTAAATAAATAGGAACCGCTCCTTCCTGACTGAAAACATTTCCCCTTAGGCTCAGTAATGGAGGTATGGTTAGTCACAAAAGAAAGACGGGCTTTAAGTGGCCCTCAAACAAAAGCATTGTCCCCTGTTTACCTGCAGTAGTCAGTGTAGGCCTTATTTATCGATGAATTTAAAACCCGTTTGCATAAAGAGTCTAACACAAAAGAAATCTTTCTTTTAGCCACATCTTGTGGCCTCTCAAACTTCCCCCTAATTTAAAATAATAAGAAATGTTTTCTAATGCAAATGAATTCACTTTGTTTGCATGCTTAAATTAATATGGTTAATAACAGCTAAGATTATTAACATACAAGCGCTACTTAGTTTTCAACATACTGTCACACAGAGCAGCAACTATTGCATAGGTTTATTATCAATTATTATTTGAAAATTTTACAGTTATTCATTTAGCGTGTACCATTTCAGAAGGGTGTAGAATAAGGAAAGCAACAATTACTTACTGAGAAACTGCTGATTTAAATATATTTCATATACAGTCACAGGAAATGGAAACATGTATGTATTTTCTTTCTTGCAGGACAAAGAAGACTATGGGACGCTCTAAAACGCTTCAAGTCGAGCGTGCGCGTGCGGTCACGGGTGCCGAAGGTCCGAAACACTTAATTTGCATTAGCTTTGTTATGGAGTGTTATGTGTTAACTGTATTTCTTAAGCCTGATTTTCAATTTGTCATTTTTATTGACTTAATGATGCACACAGGTGTTCAGTGGGGAGCCGTTAACCGGAGGTGGTCAAGCACAGGGCCAGGAAGTCGGTGTCCGGGCTCTTCCTTGTCTTATCCAAGACAGTGAGCTGATTCTGGCGGAGAGGCTGGGCTCTGGGTCATTTGGGGTGGTGAAGAGGGGAGAGTGGCATACACCCACTGGAAGAGTGGTGAGAACTAGTGATGGGATTTCC